ACTGTGGAGCCAAGCAAACTAAAACTGTTAACAATCTCAATCTCTTCAGCATCCATACTGATGCTGAAAGTTGGCCCAGTGGTGAGAATCTTTGTTTTCTTAATGTTGAGCTTCAATCCATATTGAAGGTTGCAGTCCTTGACCTTCTGCAGCAGGTGTTTCAGGTCCTCCTCAGTTTAGCTAGCAGGGTTGTGTCATCTGCATAATGCAGGTGGTTGACTTTTCCACTAATCGTGATGCCACATTCCTCCGCATACAGCCCAGTGTCCTGGATGATCTGTTCTGCATACAGATTGAAAAGGCAAGGAGACAGAATATATTCCTGGCGGACCCCTTTCCCAATTTTGAATCATCCAATGTCTCCTTGCTCTGTTCTGACAACTGTCTCTTGATCCAAGTATAGGTTTCACATTAGCACAATCAAAAGTTCTGGGATTCCCATTCTTCTTAAAGTCAGCAACAGCTTTTTGTGATCCATACTGTCAAAAGCCTTTGCATAGTCAAAAAGCACAGATAGACATTCCTCTGGTACTCTGTGCTTTTTGCCAAGATCCATCTAACATTAGCTATAATATCACTAGTACCACGACCTCTTCTTCACCATTATTAATGCATCTTGATTGTGTGTTTTATCGATTTCTGATTGCAAAAGTTGGTAAAAATTTTCTATTTCCTCCATTTTGGCTCTAGTTGCTAGTGCATATATTTGAATGATAATGGTACTCACTGGACTTCCTTGTATGTGTATTGTAGCATTATATTTTAACATTGTATTTTGAGATGGATCTAGAAGTGACTTTTTAAACTATGAAAGCAACACCATTTTCCCTTACCTTTTCATCTCTGGCATATTAGGTCTTATGATTGTCTGATTCACAGTGTCACATGCCAGTCCATATCATTTTGCCAATATTTACTATGTTAATATTTATACTTTCCATTTCTTAACAATGTCCAGTTTTCCTACATTCATGTTTCTCACATTTCACATTGCAATCACTAGTATCTGCTTACAACTGTTGCACCTCCTTTGTATGAGCAAAAGTCTGTGGTGATGAAGGAAGAAGTTCAAGCTGCTCTGAAGGATTTGACAAAGAGAGGCCCGGGAATTGATGGCATACCAATTGACATATTTCAACAAACAGACGCTGCCCTGGATGTGCTCACCAAGATGTGCCAAGAAATCTGGAGGACAACCACCTGCCCAGCTGACTGGAAGAAATCCATATTTGTCCCCATTCCAAAGAAAGATTACTCAACAGAGTATGAAAATTTATTGAACAATATCATATGGAAGCAAGGTTCTGCTGAAAATGAGTCAAAACTAACTGGACCAGCACGTTAACAGAGAACTTCCAGATGTGCAGGGTGGGTTTAGAAGAGGCCATGATACTAGGGATATTATAACTAATGTTAGATCAATCTTGGTTGAAAGCAGAGAGCACCAGAGGAATGTCTATTTGTGTTTCATTTACTGTGCAGAGACATTTGATTGTGTGGATCACAACAGACTTTGGCTAACTCTGAGAAGAATGGGAATCCCAGAATACTTGATTGTGCTTATGTGAAACCTATATACTTACACTAGGAGGCACTTATCAGAACAGAGCAAGGAAACAACGCATGGTTCAAAATCTGAAAGATTGTATGCCAGGAATGTGTCCTGTTTCCATATATCTTCAATTTATGCAGAACAGATCATCTGGGAGGCTGGGCTCTATGAGGAAGAGTGTGGCATCAGTATTCAAGGAAGACTCTTCAGCACCTTGCATTATGCAGATGACACAACCTTCCTTGCTGAAATTGCGCAGGCCCTGAATCACTTGATGCAGAAGATCAAGGACTACAGCCTTAAATATAGATTGAAGCTCAAGCTCAAGAAAACAAAGTTTCTCACTACTGGGCCAATTAGCAGCATCATGGTAGATGATGAAGAGATTGAGATTGTTAATGGCTTCAGTTTGCTTGGCTCTACAATCAACACTTTTGGTATCAGCATCCAGGAAATCAAAAGATGAATAACATTTGAAAAGTCTGCTGACATGGACTTCTCCAGAGTACTGGAGAGCAACAGTGTCATCCTAGAGACTACGGGGTGCCTGATCCAGGCCATGGACTTTGCAGTTACTTGCTATGCTTCAGAAAGCTGGACAATGAGTAGGGGTGATAAAATGAGGATTGATGCCTTTGAGCTGTGGTACTGGAGAAGAGTATTGAATACACCATGGACCGCTAGGAGAACAAACAGGTTTATCTTAAGAGAGGGTGAAATGTGGCTTCTCCTTGGAGTCAGGGATTCTGGAGTTTCATCTGACACACTTAGGCATGTTGCAAGGCAGGACTAGGCCTTGGAGAGGGACATCATGTGTGGGAGTGTGGAGGGACAGCTTGAGAGGAAGACTCTCGATGAGATGGATTGACTCAGTGACTGGGGAAATGGGGGTAGATGTGTCATAGATGGTAAGGTTGACTTAGGATAGAGCAGGGTTCAGAGCTATTATACATAGGGTAGGTATGAATTGCAGACAACACAATGGCACATAACAAGTTCTAGCATTGGAATGCTTCACCAGAAATTTAAACTCAATATTGAATTAATGCCAGTTTTTCTTATGTTCTGTAGAGTTAATGCATTTCCAATAAAATTGCGAAAAAGCTCTTTTTTTTTTTAAGTGGGAGAGAAATTGGCACTCAATCTATAATTTTTAAATATGCAGAAGATCTAGGATAGGCAAAACAGTTTTCAAAGGAACAATTGAAGAGCTTGATACCTACCTTAAGATTCCATAAAATTACAATACATCAAGACAGTGTAATATTGGTATAAAGTTAAAACATACAGGTCAATAGAAGAGATAGTCACACTGGAAAGATACCTACATATATATGGTTTATTTATTTATTTATTTATTTTTGTTGTTGTTTTGGGAAAAGTGCCGGAGAGAATCAGTTTTCCTCCAACAAATGGTACTAGAACAATTGGTTATCTCTATTAAAAGCTAAACAAAACTTTGATTCATTTGTGACTGATTTTGTAAAAATGAACTTGAAACGTATCACAGACTTAAATGTAAAACTTAAGCTTTTAAAACTTCTAGAAGAAAATGTGGGAGTAAATCTTACTTTGGGTTTGACAAATATTTTTAAAATTAAAACAAAAACCATCAATTTTTTTGTAAAAAACAAATCTATAATTTAAACTACATCAAATTGAAGTCTTGTTTTTAGAAAACATTTTAAAAAATTAAAAAGCAAGTAACAAACTAGAAGAAAATATTTGCAAGACCTATGTATGATAATATCCCTGTACCCAAACTATAAAAAAACTATCACACCTGAAGAAGATCAACTCAGTGTACTGCTTTTGAATCAGAACAAATGACTTTGGAGTCATAGCTGACCCTTCATTGGATTTACGAGGCTGTAAATTGAATGGGTGGGGATTGCTCCTCTTTCTGCTGAGGTGTTACCTTGCTTGACTTTTGGATTTAGTAGCACAGCTTCCTGCAGACTAGACCACCAGAGCTCCCTTCATAAGGTTTTTAGCTTCCTTAGTAAGCTAGCCCCTTTAAAATACAAAATATTTAAGCAGATACTGTACTAGAGAAGATTTACCATGTCACAAATGTTGTGAAGTACCATCAAGTTGGAAACAATCTATAGCTGACCCAACCAGTGAGTTTTTGGAGGCAATAAATTGCACAAGAGGAGATTGCACGTCTTTCTTCGGCAAAGCTGCTGGATTCAAACTGAATACATGGGGGGGTGGGGTGTCAGCACAGTTCTTGACCACTAAGCCACCAGAGCTCCTTTGGTAATGATTAGCTAGTTTATGTAACTTTGCATCCTGTTGAGTCTGCTGTATACATGGTTATATTTATAAAGTGTACTAATGTGAATGAAAGGAGTTCAGGTGCTCTTTCTAGTGGTAAGGATGTATGCTGCTAAGCCGAAGGCATATGGATTGGATTCAGCAGCTTCTCTGAGGAAAGAAACATGAGCAGTCTCCTGCTGTGTGATTTGTAGCCTTTGAAAACCTCCTGGAGGGTCAGCTGTGTATTGATTCTGATTCAGTGGCACATAACAACAACAATAAATATGAATGCAGAAATAACACCTGCCAGACATTTATATAGTCAGTCCTATTTCCATACTTTTTCAGTCTATATGCAGAACAGATTATCTCGAGGCTGGGCTCTCTGAGAGATGTGGCATCAGGATTAGAGGAAGACTTATCAGCAATCTGCATTATGCAGATTACACAACCTTGCTTGCTTTTAGCGTCCTTAGTAAGATAGCACCCTTAAAATACAAAATATTTAAGCAAAAACTGAGGAGGATCTGAAGTACTTGCGCAGAAGGTCATGAGCTGAAGCCTTCAATATGGATTGAAGCTCAACACCACCGGGCCGATTGGCGGCATAATTATAGATGAAGAGATTAACAGCTTTAGTTTACTTAACTCCACAATCAGCACTCTTGGCACCAGCAGCCAGGAAACTAAAAGATGTACTGCATTGGGAAAGTCAGCTGTCAAAGACCTCTCTTAAGTACTGAAAAGCAGAGATGTAAGTCTGGAGACTAAGGTGCACCTGATATAGGCCATGGTCTTTGCTATTACTTGCTATGCATCAGAGACCTGGTCAATGACCAGGGAGGACAGAAGGAGAGGAGAAGAGTATTCACTATACCATGGACTGCTAAGAGAACAAACAGGTTCATTCTGGAGAGGATGAAATCAGGCTCCTTTTTTGGAGGAAAGGATTCTGAAGTTTCGTCTGACATACTTTGGACATGTTGCAAGGAGGGACCAGTCCTTGGAGAAGGACGTCATGCTTGGGAGGGTGGAGGGACAGCACAGGAAAGGAAGATCCTTTATGAGGTGGATTGATTCAGTGACTTGGGTAAAGGGGGTAGGTGTATATGTAGACAGTGAGATTGACACAGGATAGAGCAAGGTTTAGGGCTGTTCTACATAGGGTCGCTACGTGTCTCAACAGCACATAACAACGGAAAATGTTCTGAGAATTTATTAAATCTCATTTTCTTTTATATAGCTTACTATTCAAAATGAGGAATTTAAGACAAATGAAGATGGAATTCCAGAAGTAGATCAGTTTAATTTGGTATGTAACCTTTTTTTGATATTTATTAATTTACAGTTCATGGAATATTTGCATAGTTTTCGTGGTGCAGTGATACAATGCTTCGCTGCAAACAGAGAAGTCAGCAGTTAAACACACCAGCCACTCAGTGGGAGAGGACTTGGCTATTTGCTTCTATAAATATGGTGACCTAAGAAACAGTTTGTGGCAATTCTGGTCTGTCCTGCTGTCACTATGAGTTGGAATAGATACTACACATAACAACAATACCTGCAAATGTCCTATGAAGAATAACTGGGTGGTACAAATGCTTAATGTGCTCATTTGCTCATTGAAAGCTTAGAGATTTGAGTCCACACAGAGATACCATAGAAAATGTCCTGGATGGAGATACATATATATTTAAATCATCTTTTGGAGTTCATATAGAGCATAGTTCTGTCACACACAGCCTTGCCATGAGTAAGGAGTGACTTAACAGCAACTAGTGTGATTTGCTTTTTTTAACATCCTCTGAAATTAGATTTTTGAAAACACACATTATTGATGCTGAAGTTTTCTTTGCCTGTACTACTAGGGTTGTAATAAAAAGCATTTGAGACAATTTTTGGGCTATTAAAAACCTATAACTTACGTGGCTTTCTCTGTTTGGATGAAGTAATGAAATTTGATCATTTACAAACTTAACATGATTGATTGTCTTTAGTTTTTTACCAGTCTCCAACATGGTAGCCTATATTGTCAAAGTGTTTAAGTTGAGAAAGTAATAGAGATATCTGTTAGACAGATGGGAATTAGGCTTTTCACAACTGAATCATCGAGGAGACCTCTTTCTTCTGTCATTTTCTGTTTGTTAGAACAAATTCACTTCCCCATGCTCAGGGGTAAGGATAGGGTTATTGTGGTCATTTTAGGATGTGTATAGTGTATAGATGCACTGTAAGGTGTATCTATTGACTCTGTGCTAGTTACCACACTGTTGCTGTATATCATCAAGTCAGTTTCAGGTCACACCCACTTTATATGACATGGGGTCCTTAAGCCTGACACACAGTTAGATGCTTAATAAATATTTGTTGGATAAATGAATCTTGTCATATTGTTTTTTGCTGAATATTCTTTGCTTTGTCCCCCCCCCCCCAAATCCCTCTGGAGTTGACTTATTTTTAAAAATTCTATTTAGTTTATGATCTGAAGTAGGAATCTTACTTGTTTTTGTCAAATTAATTGATCTGGCAACATTTATAGAATTATTTTTTCCCTGATTAGTAATGCCATTTCTCTTTTATGTCAAATTTCCCTATACTGATGGATCTGTCATTGAGTTGATAGTGACTCATGGTGATCCTGTAGGGACAGCCTGGGTTTTGAAGGCTTTAAATCTTTAAAAACGTAGACAGTATCATATTTCTCCAGTAGAGTAGGTGGTAGGTTCAAACTTCAGGTCTTTTGCTTATCACATGAATACTTCAGCCACAATGCCAGCAGAAGCACTTGTCTGATAAATGGTTAGGCAATTTTTTTTTAGTTTTTTATTTTATTAGAGATTACCTTAGTTGTATTTTGCAATTTTACAAATTGTAAGACAGACTGTTTGACCTGTTCTTTTCCTTTTATATTTTATTATTTAACTTTACACATTAAGATTTTTAGTGTAAAAAATCAATCCATTTTTACCTTTTTCTAATGGGGAGCCAGTTGTCCTAACACCTGTTATTTAAAAAGCTACTTCCCTCATTTGAAATGCCTTTTTAAAAAAATACTAAATTTTGATTGATTTCAGGGGTGGATTTATAGTTTTACTCTTTGTCCCATCTTTTTTTTTTATTCAGCACAAACCAAAGTGATTTTAATTTTAAAATATTTTTAATAGCTTTTAAAACTTTGCAGGGCTAGTTCCTTCTTCACTGCTATATTTAATCAGTTTGAGCGATTGTTGTTATCTTTCTAAATACAGTCTAGTTGAATAATCTTGAGGATAAAACATAGATTGTATTTTCCTTGGTGTCATGTACATTTTATAAATAAGTGAAAGTTGATACATTTATAAGTCTTGCTTCCCCTTCTTTGTGTCATAGAACAACTACTTTTGTGCTTTTTAAGAGGATAAGTTATTTTTCCTCATTTAGATTTTGTATAAGTTAAATATTTGCCTGTTTGGATAATGTTTTTAAATATATTTAAAAACGTACTCAGCAGAGTACAGTCTGAACCATAGCAAATGTTAATTCTGAACATTCTGTATCCCAGACACTATACTAGTTTACCTGGGGATGAAGTGATAATCAGTGAAAAATTTCTGATCTTAAGGATATTTGAACTTACTGATACTCAGAGTACATACTTTTGGTTGGGTTTTTTTTTGTTGTTGTTGTGTGTTTTTTTTTTTTAATTCAGTCTTTGTTTCCTGGTTAGAATAATTACAGGGGCAAGTACATGGTGCCTCAGGAGGTACAAATAATAGAACAAAAATATAATAAAGTTATTTACATGTGGTGAAAAATTGCCATGAAATAGTAGCATGTAATAAATTACAGCTCCTATAATGATTGTAATAATAATTGTGAAAATAGGATTCTCAGAAGAGATCATTTAAAAACAAACTAGAAGCAGTAGATGAGGTGAATAAAGATGATTGTTCTAGGCAGAGGCGGCATAGTGTGGACATTTTCATGGAAATACCCTAGAGAGGAAGGACAAACTACTGTCAATTTTGGTTTCATTCAGCTGTGATTTTTTTAACCCCCTTCTAAACTTTCAACTACAATGGGGTTTCTCCACCTCTTTTTTAAATGGTGTATACGTCTAGGGGTGTATCCCGTTCTAAGAAAGTAATTTTGTCACAGAACTAAAAAAATCTAAATATAGAGCAGATTAGAGGTGATATATGATGATTATGGTTAGCACAGGAATCCAGATTTTAGGTTGCATAGAGAAGTGTACTCTGGGGGAGGGGTGGGGTAGAAGGGATGGGGGAATTGTATACTAATGAAGGAATATTTTTTTTCCTTTTCCTTTTCAGAGAGGGGAGCAAACTGGTGGGGAGGGGTGGGCAGGGAGAAAAGTGTGGCAGTGAATGAATGGAAATCCACAACCTCTATAAATGTCTATTAAAATAAAAAAAAAAGAACACTAAAGAAAATCTTGGAAAAAAGAAAAATAAGCTTAGCACTTAACATAAAAATGATGATCAATTCTTTCCCCATGCACCTTTATATCTATATAATGATAATAAAAGGGATAATAAAAGGTAATCGCTATCATTCCTACTGTTATTTAAAAAAACACTTCTGTATTCCTTATCATGAATATGTTTAAAATGAATTCCTCTTTATTACATATGTGTCCTTTCTCCCCCTAAAATCTGTTTTGTCTTTTTTTATAGGATGATCATGTTAAATCCCTCCTTTTTAGTTTGATTTTGTGTAGAAGTTCAGTGACTGCTGATGAAGTGTTGACTGCTAGCTATTTCTTGCTACCAAAGGTGAAATCAATTCCAAATCCAAAAAAAGATAATGAATATACAGAATATATAGAAGAAGAGTTAAAGATGGAAAATTTGGATAAACATAAAGAAAAACAAAGAAATGGTGAAGCCAATTTTGATTGCTAGATTAGTACTTTATTTTTTGTTGCAGATTTTTCTTTAAAAACTTTGGTAAGTTTGGTTAAACAAAAATCTAAAAGTGTTCTGATACCAGTTTGGTATTTAAATTGTGAAAAATAAAAGCTGTTTGTTTATGCAAAAAAAATGGTTGTATGGTTTGACATTTAGTTTAACTTGAGAAGTAGTAAGGAGGGATTTTCTGTAGTTACCTCTGTAGAGATTGAATAATTAGACTGTGATACTTGTGACAGAAAATATTATTAGATTGCTAGACAAATAAATCTTACTCATATTCTCAGTATGTTGGTCAGTTGGTGATACAAAGGATACTGTGTTCAACAAATAATTACTTCACGTTTGTCTTGTACTTAGCTCTAGAAATAGAAAGCAAAATAGAAAATGTTTATAACCTTCATTCTACTACTACAAGGAATCAAGTTAAAAAGGTCTTTGACCTGATTATCCTGGAAAAAACCTCAAAATTTTTAAAAACAAAACCAATACTAATTCAAATTAATGAACACAATTGTAATTAAGGAGAATTCATTTCAGTTACTATACCCTGCCATATGAATGCCATAAAGGACTCTATAGGAGGAGACTGGTTTCAAGTCTTTTTATAATAAAGTAGGTAAGAAATGTTGAAAACAAGATCTAAGGGAGAAGAAATAGAGCTGAAGCATATAGGCAAACATAAGTGACTAAGAGACAAAATCCACTGAATTTGGTGATTGAAATGCTTACAGATTAAAATAGTGTGGCAGAGTCTAGTTACCTACTTAACATCAAGTCTTCCTTTTTTTTTAAACCTTTTTTTTTTTCTTTTTCTTTTATTGGGGAAAACATATTGGGGGTACAAGGAGGTGAAGGTTGGAGGCAGAAGGGTGAGGATGGGCCAGGATGCAGTTGCAGAGCTGCACAGTTTGGTCGGTGGGGGGAGCAGGTGAAGGAAATGATGAGGATCCAGTGGGGACCAGATGCTACAGAGGAATGACAAGC